CTGGTGTTGGGCATCGAGGATTGGGAGTATTTACATCGCTGGACGTAATCAACGCTGGATTTACATTGTGGGACTTTTTTTTTTTAGAGGAGTTGTCAAAATCTATATTTTGTGTTTTATTTGGTGAATGAGTAGGGGTAACATTTACCCTACTCATTCTCCATCTGGATGCCCCCTTTATCAAAGATTTTTATAAACTCCCCTGCCCGCAGACCCCCACAACCACCTGGTTGAATACGAATAATGAGTGCCTCTGAATATTACAAAAACAGGAAAAAAATATCCGAATGGATCCGAAAAACAAAACAAATTTTATATGAGTTTTTATGTCTACTTTTAAGCCAGTCCATTGCATCCTCATGAACTATATTTGATACTTTGCATACTTTGTATTCCTACTGTATAGATACACTCAGGGGCATAGCGAACAGGTATACAAACAACATTCACAGCCCATTATGGCAACTAGATGAAGCTGAGGAGCATAGGAACTTTGAAAAGTTTATAAATCAGCCCATACTTTATAGATTCAATGTATTTCTTATAGTGTATTTATAGCTACAGCTTTTTTGTTTTACATGTGGTTTGTGGATGGCTTAGAACCCTTTATGGGTTCTTATTGCTGACTGTGTCTCTGCCTGAAATATTCATCAGCTCTGTCGGTCCTGGTGAACAATTTCATGCTGCCCCTCCATACAAGAGATGACAGGAAAACTTTTAATGCAGACACTTGTTTTAGTGAACAGATTTTCCTTTGTTATGGAGAGATTTCCTTTTACTTCTTGATGTCTTCTACATATTTATTATTGGATGTCAGATGTATTTATTAAATGCATAAATGAATACTAAAGTCTGCCATACACACCTCCCCTCCAGCAATATTATGCCCATTTCTCAATCCCCGGTGCCAGCAAATTCCCTGCTCATCTTCTGTGTTTGGCATTTTCAGCCATCTTGATCGGTGGGCCCATTATGATGTATCTCCTGCGCATGTGCATCTTAGTGCATATTCTACAGAAGTTTGTGAGCAGGAATGTAAGAGTCTTTTACTGAAGGAGAGACATAGCATATCTTTTTTGCAATATAAAGCATTCCTACTTGTAAATTATTTTTGTATGAGATAGAGTGCTACTTAATGAAAGGTTATGGAGCGGAGGTATGTTTTGCTAGTGCTGGTGGTAAATAAAGCTATACAAGAGAGAAATATACATTTCTTATGAAAATGTATGTATAATTATTCTAATTTATAACTGAGTATTCAGATTGTATAAGCCCAGTCTTGACTGCTTTATTTTTAGGGTACCCATAGACATAGAATGGGCAGGCACCATGTCACCTTGGTTTAGGCTAGATTCTGTGCCTGCTTGAGTGTACCGGTCTAAAGGGAATTTGAGTAGAGTGTTTTCTCTTCAAATAGTGTAGTTGGGAACTCTAGATACCCAGCAGCAGACCTGCTGTCAGGGTCTAGCCACACCAATGCTGGTGCTGCCCCTATGTATGCTGTACTGGCTTCTCTGCTTAAAGTGTTTGTGCATTTTGTGACACCTGTAATGGTTAACTAGATGTTGAGATTTAAAATGTTAATAATCATTTTGTCTTTAGCTGTCAGGAAGGCTGCCAATATTAGACAGAAAGCTCTTTTATTTAATATGTAGTGCTTTTTATAATATTAGATCCTTTTTAGCATGCCTTTTCCAGCTGCTTAATTATACCCTACACATCGTATTAATTATAGTATTTGTTCTTCCTTGAGGTTTATTATTTATAATTTCTCACTAAGTATGGTGTTTGTAGTAGCGTAATGAATCCTTTTTTTTCCTTTTCAGAAAAATTGGTAAAATGTTACATTTTCACCCAAATAATAATGATGTGATTATGTTTGGTGGAATTTCAGAACGCAGTGAAATATATTATAGGCTCTTTCATCACATGCTATAGAAGCCACGGGATATTATTAAAGTTGAGTGAACAATGGAATATTCACTTTACTTGGTGTAAGGCAAATATTCCATTGTTCACTCAGAAAATTAAATCATGATCTACAGTCCTGCAGCTTGGGCTCCCCGATCACCTGGCACAATCCATTGGTGCGGCCTCACTTTTTTTAAGACCACTGAGATTTATTTGGCGAGAATCTTTGCCCTCTGTGATGTCAGCAAATTATAAGAATGTAGTACACCTTCTTATTGGGTGCTATGCTGTTTGTTGGGGGTGGGGGGACTCTACTGCATTTGAAATCATACAGGTGACAAGACAGCAAGGCAGCAACCATCAAATTTTAAGTGACTCCTCATCACTAGGCTAAGTAAAGCTAAAAAAAATGGAAAATATACATTTCTTTCTTGCTCATTGTGCGACACAGAATTCAGACACAACTGGGTTACACTGTTGCCTACAGAACAGTTTGGACACTGGCAAAAAAAACAAAACAGTGATCACCCCTTCTACTCCCAGCATGCCTCTGTTTTTTTTGCTAGTTGCCTGGGAAGATAGACTCATTTTTTTGCACTAAGAAAAGTAACCATTTCCACTAGCCATTTTTGCTTTTTTTAAGATGATTTTTTCTTCAATCAAGGCTTTATTTACAAGCTGCTTGTGCTGGTCTGTTTATGCAGCTATTCATAACAGCGTATCCTCAGCAATAGCTTTGGAGGCTGTAGCTGACCCGCTGAACTGGACAGTTGCAGTGCCTGTCTGGAATGTGACGTTCAGGCACAGGGTTCCACATTAAAGTGCTTTACAGACATTTGTGCACTCTGTTAATTAGCCGTGAAGCACTTTCTGGGGCCAGAGCCTCAACACAGCGACTAGTGTGACCCAGTCTCTGAAGACTCATTTATTAGTAGGCCAGTGGGCCGAGCATCGAGAACTTCCAGCAGCTGATTTGTGAATACTCAAGGTTTTACCTTGTTTTTGCACAAGTTGTTGCTGCTTCAGGTCCTACATGTTGGATCCCAAACAAACATGAAACAGTATCAGGTCTCTCCAGCTCACGATGCACAAACAGTCCTGGGGCGGTCTGTAGTGTTCCCTCTCAAGGGAACACTACAACCTAACACTGACAGCCTGGAACATTGTCCCTTGCTTGAGTCTTTACATTCCTCCGAGCCTTCCTCAGCTCCATCGGATGTGGTTCACTCTTCAGTTTTAACGCAAGAGCATTTCACTTTAGTTATGTAGGATTTCATGGGCCAAATTGCTGACCACAGAGGCCTTAAGCATATCTCAACATCTTCTCCTGCAGAATCATTATTTGAACTGCCTGAAGCCTTAGCGGTCTTGAACTTTCAGTTGCGGTGGTTCTATTAAATGAAAAGTCAGATTGAAACTGTTTACCCCTCCCAAAAGTTTTGCAGCCCAATACCCATTTGAGGGGTCCTTTTTTACTAAGTGCCCCATTTTCACTATTGATCTAGCAGGGTCCCATCTTTAAAAAGCTTTCTTCCACACTTATCTTCTTTCTGGAGCATTTAGAGCTTTTGCCAGCAGCCCTGCACTATTGTGTAGACAAATTAGTGGATGCCTCCCGTCTTATTTTCTGTATGACTCTCTTTGGTTAAAATATTGGGCTAGAGCAGGCATGTAAATTGTGTTTGCTGCGCATACCCTTGGAGGGACAATGTCTCTTCAAGGCTGCCTTGAACACCCATCAAGGATATCCTGGGTGGTGTGAGGCTGGTAAAAGAAGCCTAGGCTTCAACCCAGAAAGACTCTCCCTACCTTTTAGGCCAATAAGAATTTATTTTGTTACTCTCATAGCAGGGGCTCGCCGGAGAGGTTTGATAACGTTTGGGGCCTATGGTTTACCTTACCTCCTACGGCTTCATCCCCTGATGAGTAATAAGTCAGTATATGTATGATATGGACACCTTTTTACTGTACATTGTATGGTTCAACCACAATTGTCACAATACCTTGTATATACTCATTAATTATAGACATGAGACTGTATTACTTTATAAAAATGTTAGTGTGCAGGCCCGGATTCCCCACAACGCCATGAGGCCCGGCCTCGGGGCGGCAGAGCTTATTCTTTCCATCAAAAAAAATCAATAATACACATCTTAAAAAAAAAAATGCAGCATGCAGAAGTTTAAGTATGCTGCATCACAGAGCACTAAAGGTATCTAAACTGTACCACTGACTATAACAATACATGGCAGATCTGCTTGTTCACATTCCGTACCCAGGTGTGGAAAGCAGCACTACAGTCCTGTAGTATGAACAACACCTATAATAGCATGGATCTCCTTAAACATTTTGTGTGCACTTTGTTGTGCATTATTAACTACACTGAAAAAGTATGGGTATGATCAGAATCCTTAACACTAGTATTTACTCATTCAGAACAAGCAGTAAACGCACTTTGAGGATAAATAACTTCACATTAAAAGCAGCCAGAGAGGTCAGGGGTGGCTTGTTTAAGCTTTTCTTATTGCTTATTACAATTTGCTAAGAGTATTTAAATGGCATATTGCCCATATTATGTGCACAGGTGTGTTTAAGCCTACAAACGTATACATGCTTCTTTCTTATACATAGGGCCACGACCATCATGCATTATTCCTAGTGCAGGGAGTATACAGTCCGTTGCTGTGTCAATTAATGTTCCATCCTCCGCAGCTGTATTGTAATGAATGTACTCTAGTTGAGCTGCACCCCTTTTCTACTGTAGATCAAAATACATTTATTAAAATGGTCTGTTCTTCAGTACAATTCATGAACATTTGTGTTCTTTTTAAGCAGGATATTTCTTATTATTTTGGAAATTACCAAATGCTATTCATCTAGGCTAAGCACACTCTACTTTTGTGGGATGTTTTGTTCAGATTCTTCTTTAGATTTTTCTAGTTTGGAGTTGCTAGGCAACAGTGTTTGCTTCCAACATCAGATAAATAATAGGGTCAACAAGAGCAAACCTGTATCGTAAAAATTCTGTTATACCAATATGGTCCTGCTCTGCCTTATAATGCTTTTTTATATTTCTGTCTATTTTTCAGGGAATGTGATTGTATATGGGAATACACTTGATTCATACACAACAGTTGCCACTCTTTTGTCAATAGGAATTAGCGGCTTTCGCATCCATTTAGTACAGCCGCCACTAACATCGAACATCACTTGCTTAAACAACCACGCAATAGAAGAAACTGTGCAGAAAGCCTTGATGGCAGCTGGTGTGACTACCTACTACAACTGCAAGCTGGCACAGTGGAATGACGGGGCTGATCCTGACCCTATACATTCTGCTTCATTCACTACTGACACCAAACCACTCAGGCTACAGTGTTCTGTAAGTACAAAGCTTTAACAACACCATACTAGAAGATAACAACAATAAAGAAAAATAGCACTAATTTTAAGGCAAGCCAGATGGCTGCCCACTATGCAGGGACAATAGGTTTTATAATATCATATTTGTACTAAAGTAAGAAATATTAACAGGGGTGAGGAAATAAAAAAAAAAAAAAACTACTTGCCCAAGGACTAAAGCGGGGGCCCAATCCCGCTCTTATGGGGGACCCGGGACCACGGCACATGAACTCAGCATAGAGAATGTAGGGCAAGCGAAGAACGTCAATTCTTTGCTATGCTTTGTGAGATCACTGAGACCAGAGCTCACAGGGCCACCTGTCTCAGCTGTCAGGAACTGCACAGAACTTCTGTTCTGTGTCGGAGGTCAGGTTCCATAAAGAGAACCTGTCACCTGCAAACTGACACATAGGGGCTTGTAAGCCCGTGTGATAGGAAAAAAATTAAGTGAAACAAAATAATAAATACAAATTTAAAATAAAAAAGTAAAAAATAATAAAATATATAACAATTTTAAAAATAAAAGTGATAAAGTAAAAAATAAAACCAACCCCGCTGCCCTAGCCATCTGCATGCAAATAAACACACGCGTAGGGCATTGTGTGCTGTCGCCATTTCCACTGCCTGCCATATTGTGGTAGCCAGGCAGCAGAACTCTCTTACACACACAATCTACATTAAACGGTTAGTTCACTTTCCCAAATAATATGGGAAATGGAATTACCTGATCAAATCTGGCACTGTCTCAGACTCCCCCGGCTATACTTACCTTTCGGCAAACAGTCCTTACTTTCCACCAGTACGCGTGTACAATCTGTACCCCGTACTGCTGTCCTACTTTGAATAAAGATGTCATCAGCACGACAAAATAAAAGTCAGTGCAAATCCATTTTATTGATAGATGTCGTTTAAATGTAAAGTGCTTTCGGGGGCAGCGCAGGGTCCCCTTCTCTAAAAGTGATGATCACATTTAAGGATTTGTAAACAAATTTTTGCTTTTGGGGTTAGATACGCTTTAATACATTATCTGGGTTTTTCCACATACTTTTGTCAGAGATATCCATAACTGAATTGTAGGGAGACTTTAATTGGCAGGGTTAAAATTGCTGTCCTGCAGAATCTGGCTCCAGATTGTGTTCTCAATAAGCCTAGTTAGGATTTTACATAGCGGAATGAACCAGAATGAAAGTAAAACCCTGGGAAGGTAGGCTGTGTTCTTTTATTTATATGTTATGCTGTGATTGCAACTTATTCATCTAATATTTAACCCTTTTTCTTTTTTACTATAGGTGACATTTAATTTTTTCCAGAAGGGAGTAGACTATCAGGCCTTTAAAGCAATAAACGATGCATGTCTGATATATGACAGAAGGCTAGTCATTGATTCCACATTCCACACAAATGACATATCTATAAGGGCAGCAGGACCACTGACCAAGTACTCCAATAGGTATCATGCAAACGAATGGTCTCATACTTACTTCAGCTCAAGGGAAATTGGCTCTCAGCTCGCTGCTAGTATGCTGCCTCTCTTCGACCCGACACTGGAACCAGTGAGTGAGCTCCCACAAGAACAAGACAGGCTCATCCCAATTTACAAAGGCTCTGTCATTCAAGGTATGGCCTATAAGTGATGAATACAAGCGCAGTGTTCCTAGCTAGCAGTACAAGGGCTCACATGACTTCCGTTCATCCAATCATGGTCAGGGAAATAAAAGAAAAACTCATCATCTCCTTAACTTGACTGGATATTTGCAGTGAACACATGTTAAGTTTACTTAATGTTTTTGTAATGTTTTAGCCTCGTTTAGCAACCATTGGGAAAAACCTAAACATGGGTCAGTGTAATTTTTTCCTAGTTCTGCATTGCAACTAATTTGAACCCGAATCCATTTTGAGAAATTACTTTCAGTGGATTATGTCATTGTCATAATGTTCTTGGTGAGGCTACAACCAGCCAACAAAACAAACAAGAACAACAGAGTGTTCTCGTGATCCCAGCAGAAGGTTGTTGCTATGAGTGACAAAGATTGTGCGGCTACAGGCTGCCTTGAGAGAAGTCCAGTTCTACCCATAGACCTAACCCTGAACCTCAAACTGGACTTAATCTGAGCCTAATGCCCACATTTACACCTGGACCTAGTTTCTAACACTAACCCTAAACCTCAAGTGAAGTTTATTTTGTCAGTGATAAGGGTGATCATTATTACCATGGTTATGCTAGCTGCATTAATACAATGACATCTGAAACCTGAAGAATTCCAGGCAATTGTTTTTACTAACCCTTGCAGTGGGGCTACCCCCACACTGCAAGAGTTAAGTGCTAGTTTCTGTGTAGTTTAGGAAATAAAGTTATACTCACCTAAAGCTCAGAGACAGCTGCTTCTTATACCATTCCTTCCAACATCACTCCCTGCAGAGGTTTTGATAGTTTTGGAATGTTTACTCTGTGTTTGCCTTTGTCATTTACTTCTATACTGTGTGCTTTCTTCAAAACATGAATGACTCCTTTTAGTTTAGTTTCCTGGACAGCACAGTTCCTCTGTACTTCTGTCTTCCCACCGACATTAGTGAGGCTGCTATGGTAGACATGACACCAGCCCTACTGTCCAAGTCCCCTCTCTGTGCTTTGCCATTAAAGTTAAAGTTAACCACTTGAAGACCAGGGTGTTAAACCCCTTCCTGTCCAGGCCATTTTTCAGCATTCAGTGCTGAGGTACTTCAACTGATGTTTATGCACCTCTACATCACCACAATAAATGCTAATCACTTACTAATCACAATACCACAATAAACCACAATAAATCCTAATCACTTAAAATTGCATGCGCTTGGAAATCACAAGAAGCTACCATACCCAATTTGCCCATAGGCATTGCTTTAAAAGCTTTTACCATTTATCAATTTACAGTGTTATTCACAGAAGTGAGAAGAGTTTGGAGAAGGAAGTGAACAATCTAGGACAACACAGCTGAACTGGAAAGTGAGCTGAATTGGAGAATTTTTCCAAATCAGCTATTTTGGCCTAGATTGTTCACTTCACCTGCCTTCTCCAAACTCTTCACCCTTTTGTGAATAACCCTGTTAGTGTTAACAGTGATTGATGGCCCTATAATTATTGCTCACACTACAACGTTTACATATGCAACATGTGTGGTGTAATCATCGTTTTTTCATGTAAGCGCACCCGATGCATGTTTGCATTTGTGTGTGTGTGTACATGGGGGGGGGGGCAGGGGGCATTAAAAACATTTTTTTGTGTTTTAAAATTATTATTTTTATGTGACTTTAATTTTTAAACTTGCTTTTTTATGTGATAACACAGACACAGTAGTGACAGGTCTTCTTTATGGAGACATTAGGGGACATTAAGGGCCCTTAGGGACCCCAAAGAAGCTAAGATCTGCTTCATCAGCTTCTTCTCCAGATACAGCAGCTGGGGAAATTACATGCTGAAAGAGGAAGTGATGTTATACACATCACTTCCGCATTCAGTGATCAGGAGCGAGATCAGCCAGTGTAATGTGTTGATCTCCTTCCAATTTCAGTGCAGAGTACCGCCGTGCCGATCCCAAAAATGTCGCCAGCTGTAAACAGTGTTAACATTTCCCGCTCTTGCTCGTTCACAGAGGGGGCTCGCGAAAGCTGGAGCAGGAAAAGGTTTTTAAAAACGGCCACCCACCATAAGAGTCCACTGTCCAGCCATCTAATTACAATGGCCGGACGGCAAGCTGTTAAAGAGGGGGTGGTACATCAGAGGAATCCTGAGATCAAACCTAGCAAATCGCTTTGGAATTCCCCATGATGGAGCTTTGGTACATAGCCAAGGAGAGGTCATCTGATCTCCTTGCTTTTTCTTCATGATGATGACTATGATTACTACACTGTGTGTGTTAATTTGAACTGAAGTCTAAAATGTTATTGAAGTGTATGTAAAACCCCCACAATGAACTTCTCCTGCTTGGCCTGTCAAATATACTATTGAAAACTTTTTTTCATATCTGTTCGATAAGTGCAAAAAACTTCATGTGCTCTCTGCCTGTAGTGCACTAAAATCTTAAACAGTGTTATTAGATCTGCCCACTTCAGCTCGCTAGATTACAATATATACCTCCCTTCTATTTTATATAGACCAGGAGAGGGGTTCTGTGGTCCCAAAAAAGTAGTGAGCAGCATAGGGTTAAAATTAGGGATGCACCGATATATCAGCCGCCGAAACATATCAGCCGAAAATAGCACTTTTGGCAAAAGGCAGAAAGTGCCATTTGTCTGCCGATATAGCGGCGCATCCATTCTTTCTCTCCTCCCCGCTGGGGGCTGCTCTGAAACTGTCACAGGCCGCCCGAGCGCTGCGAAATGAGAGCGCTGTGAGTGGCCGGCGTCTCTCCTCCCACACCGCTCAGCCTCCTGTCACAGATCAGAGGAAAGTGGCTGTGTGGGGGGCGCAGACAGCCAACGCTGTTACAGGAGGCCAGCTGGCGGTGCGTAGGATGAGTCAGCTGTCAGATCGAGGACTCCTCCCCGCACAGCTCGCTCAGCCTCCTGTGACAGCTGTCAGGAAGCAGACCGAGGTACAGACACTCGGTGATCAGTGATCGCTGAGTGTTTGTAAATAATTGAGGACAGAGTATATTTACTGTGTCCCCAATTATGAATTAATGGGATGTGATCTACATCACTTCCTCTTCATTCATGATTGTGGTTATAGTAAACATACTCTGTCCTCATGTTATAAATGAACAGGAACACTCAATAGAGGATTGCATTTATAACTGGGTGTACAGAAAAAGAGATTGAGGACTTGTCACGCCTGTCAGTGATTTGGGGTTTGTGGATCGCAACTGCGGAGGCTTCTCAGGCTGAACCCTGGTTTCACTCTCAGTCTTAAGGGAGAGTTAGGGTTACATGCATCACAGCCTCAAAATAACAAATATGTGGTTCAGAGGGGGTTATTCCTTCATAAGCCCTCCCCGTAAGCACCAGAAGTCAATTTAGGAGATTACTGAGTACAGGTCAGGATGAGAGCAGCAAAAGCAATACAGGCTATAAATGAGGCTCCAGCTAGAAGTAAAGCATTACATGCAAGTCCACAATGACATTCAGTATCTATGGCAGGTGTGCAGATGTACTGTACTTGCGAGAGTTTCAATCTATTTTTCTATTTTAAAAGGGAAATATAAGGGGTCTGTTTAAACCCCTAATATTTCCTCGAAGCACCTAAAAGTAAAGTAGAAAATAAAAATATTTACTAAAAATAAATAAATAAAAATAAAATGTAAAATAAAATAAAAGTTTTAAAAAAATGAATAAAAATAAAATATTTGAAAAAGTTAGAAAAAATTATTTGGGTTTCGGCCCAACATTTTTTTTTCATTTCGGTTTCATTTCGGTTTTTAACATTTTCATTTCGGTGCACCTCCAGTTAAAATGCTGCTCCAGTACAGTGAGTGAGCATTGTCATCCTAGGACTGGATGGATGTGTGTTCCTGCCAGGATAACCAGATGAAAACAAAGGCAAATTAATCCTGAAAAAAACATAATGCAGCTACCACATCTAAGGACTGGTAACCTGCAATATATGAAAATGTTTTGGGTTTAGTTACATTTGAAATCAATAAAGTCAGAACAGCTTTTGTGAATTACTAGAAATAGATAACCTGCAACTACAACACACAACCTGTAGCTAGGTAAATGTAATGGCTGCCCTCCGCATACATGGCATGTGCCTCCATTCATGTAATGTTTAAATTTTTAGATGCCCCTTTTAACATCTGTGATATATCCTTTCCTAAATAGTTACTTTGCAATAATGTGCCAAGCCAGGATAGGGCATTGCATAGATAGCATTCCTCAGTTCAAGGATAATTATGTTCTCTATTTTTATTGCCATACCATTCATCATAGAGTTTGTCTTTTTTATATACTTAATGGAATAAGAACCACATTCAGTTAGAATTATCTGGGGAACATTCTGTGCTATGTTAGATTCAATACTGCTTAATTTTTATAAATACATGCAAGTACTTTTTTGGGGGTCGCAAGTAAAAATGTATAATCTTTATGTATTTAACAGTAATTTAAGAATTAATACTGTAATTTAACCCCTTTGCATAGTACGTCACTGGCAAGCGGGCCTGTTTAAACAGCCACCGTGACCCTGTTCACAATTGTAAAGCCGACTGTCGACTTTACAATAAAAGCAATTCTGGCAACTCACCTGTCACCAGATGGATT